TGAAAAGCCTCCACGGGTGTCCCAGGGGAACCTTTGCAAAACCCCCCCCCCCCCCCAAAAAAAAAAAAAAAAAAACAAACAAAAAAAAACATACATGTCAGAAAATAAAGACAAGCATTTAGAAGCTGAAGCTCCGGCCACACTGAAGTGGGGCTTACATTGAACAGGAATCCAATCGGAGAATGACCGGGGATTAGCAGGTCCAATAACAATCTGAATTTCTAAACGCCTCCTTCCCTTTTTTCCCACCAATAAAATGAGCTGCTACTTCAGTCTCTGTACAGTACAACAGTTTATGTGCAACAAAAATCACAGCAGTTTTAGGGGGGGGAGTGAAGGGGAGAATAAAAAAAATTCAAATTTGCAAGTGCAACTCTCTGACCCCTATAAGCCAGGCTTATTGTATCATAAGCCTTACAGGCTGCCAGGCTTCATCTGCTTTATATGTATATATACATACACACACACACACACAACAGTAATAGTGATAGTGAAAGTACGCCAATTACACTGACTGCACCTTTGCCTTGGCTTTGTGCAATGCTGCAGCATCTGGTCATAATTTTGCACCGTCTCTCAGCCATTGTTTAAGAAGGGAATGAAGGAGAACATACTCTTCAACATGAGCAATTGTTTTGCGTCTTCAGTCAGGAGAGTGGTAGACTATACCAACTGAAATAAATTACAGGGGATGGATGATATCCTGAATTTGCCTCATCCCATACCAAGAGAGGAGTGCAAGGAAAGTTTCCACACCGAGGAAAAGCCTTTTCTTACCTGCCTTCAAAAAGTCTAAGACGAACCTAATGGGACTCTACTGGAATTCTGTATCGGCAACAAAATTTCCACATGGATCTGGTGTGAAAGAAAGGAAGGATAAACATCCAGAACATGTGGAAGAAGCACCTGGTGCTTACTGTCAGTACGGTAGGGGTTCTGTGATGCTGAGGGTCTGCTTCTCTTCCCATAGAAATGTTCTTATAGATGGCATGATTATCTCTTTACAGGAATAAAGGAATGCCATCAAACAAGAGTCCCGCCTCTGTTCAATCACATTTATGACATCACCAATGTTAAATTACATGAGAGGAAATATTTGAAATATCTGAGCTGTTGCTGAGAGGTCTAATGTTTTACTTTCAGTTAGCAAAAGACCACAGCACAGAGGATTTATATGGAAATGTTGACATTGACTAGATGGCTATTAAAGGGCGTAGTCGGTAAAAAGGGTGACAGCATTTTCCTCTACAAGTCCAAGAAACTGAACTCTACTCAACTGGTTTATGTTTGTGACAAACTGCTCCGGTTAATATATTTTTAGTCGCAAAGCCGACATTTAGCGCTCTGCAATTACAGCCAGATAAACATCAACACTGTACGTGTTTAAATGGCTCCTGTGAGTAAACTCTAAACTAAGCAGCTTAGTAGTGAAAACCCAGACATGATGGGATATTTAGTCACAACTGGCCGCTATTCACTGTTAGTTTGAGCTTCGTTCCATAAAAGCGAGCGGTGCCATTATAAATGCAGACGTTTCAGCGCGTTTTTTTTTTTTTTTTAAGAAAACGTTTCGCCCTTTTTTTTAATATAGTGAACAAAAATAAAGTTATGTCAGAGGTTTCCTTGGGTAATAACGTACCTTTTCTCTAACCGTCCGTCCTCCTAGAACCCAGCAGAAAGAGACTGAGGTTGGCTAGCTAGCTGTAGAAGAGGGCGGTGTTCTCCTGTCATCGACGGAACCAGAAACACTTTGACACCGGGTCGCTCCTCCGCCTTCCAGTCACCACATCTTGTTCCGAACCCACAACCAGAAGATAATAGTGCACACAATTCACGGGCTGCATAATATTTACAACATAAACGTCATTCGTACTCGGTTGAATATCCCGTATTTCACGTGACGCGTGTGCTCTATGTTAGTTATATAGGCAGGGGGCGGGGCTTTCCCAGATACATTAAAATTAATTTCCATTATTTGTTGCCCAGACTGGCTTTTCCATTCTGACATATAATCTGTATTAGTAACCTCGCAACAGGAAGGTTTACAACCTTCAGATTGATCTCAGATGATCAACACATTTGTTTTTTTGTTTTGTTTTCTCTTCCCTCTTTAATCCTGCTCATAATAGTAGAAAAATAAAACATGAATGAAAAAAATCACAAACACAGAAATTACAAAAGATATGCATATCAACATTTATTTTCATCAAAATAACTCTGGCTTGAGTTAGCCTGCCACCAAAGCTATTAAAGCCTGAAATAGTGCCTCAATGCCAAACATGTTGCAGCAAGCACAAACGTTGCTACAGGAGATGCACATTAAGGTCCTGTCGCAGTCTGTTCAGTCTCCAAACCTCAGTTCAATGTTTCTAAGCTATCAGCACAAACATTAAGTCATTACTCATTAAGTTTCATAAATTCCTTATTTTAATTTACTCCAAAATGGCAGAATACACAAAGATTCCCGTTTCACTCACAGTCAGACTCCTTGCACTGGGACTTATTCTTATTTAATGATACAGGGCTGGACAATATGGCTGAAAAATGCCTCACAATATAAGGCTTTCATATCAGTAAATATCAATACTTATTGATTAGGGTTTTTTTTTTTGTTGTTGTTTGTTTGTTTTATCTAGTTTTCCGTCGAGTTGTTGTACTCATTTTCTCCTTTTATTCCACACTGCAGGTAAGAGGCCAAACCTGAAACTGCAACTGCGCAATTAATCCGGTTGTTGCTAGGTAACCAAAGAGGAAGTGAGTTAAGGCCGGCTAAAGCATTCCCTCTGACATCCCCCAGAATGCTGTGTGGTTCTGGACGGGAGTTTGGTGAAATGATTCAGAATTCTGTGGGGCGTGTTATTACATTGCGTGTCTGTTATTGATTTATTGCTCAGTCAGTCCTACTGATGCACAAAAGGTTCTCAGCTCAACAACATCCAAGTTCTGCAACATGCAAGTAAGTATGTAAGCATCATTATAAGACAAGAAACAGAAAACATACATTTAAAAACAATGAAAGAAATGTAAACAGATGGATTGAGGATGGAGGACAGGGTGTCTCAGTTATTGTAAATGCTTGCAGATATCACAACACTTTGCTTACGTCATGAATTGATTTAAGGTCAGTCACAGAGGTAGGTGTGTTTTTTCTTTGCGGTTTTTCACGCTAAATGAAAAACTGGAGCAGATGCAGGCAGGAGGTTCCCAGTCCCAAACGACACGTTGGGAGGTTTTGACTCTTCCCATTAGGACGGCTCAGGCACGCCGAAGACGTTTGGTGGTTTTAACTTGTAAGTGTTGAAGAAGGACGACACTTGATCAGGAAGCTCTGCCAGGACGCTCTGGGCAAGGGCCACGCTGTTTCCCTGCAGCAAAACAACGGCACAAAATAACGTTGGAGAATCATCACAAGCTGACCCGGGGAATCTAGAGATATTAAACATGCGACTGCTCGTGTTTAGGCTTGCAAAAGCATTCATAAGCGTTGAGCTTTTTCCACATTTTGTGGCAAAAATAATCTCAAAGAGTACACATGGATGGATTTTATGTGTGTAGGCTGTGGCTTTTCAGGCCTTCCACAATGGCTCTCCATGTCTTTGGCTAAAAATTATAAAGAAACAAACACATTTTGAAAAATATAGATATAATAAAGAAGTTTTTGTGTTTTTTTTGTGTGTTTTTTACCCCCAATAAACATTTGCATTGAATTTCTGCAAATGAATGACACTAAAAGTACCAATAACACTTTTTCTGGAAATCTTTGTTTTGACATCATTTTCCACAAGTATCAAAACCCAATATATGTGTGTCCACTCTCTGTCTTTCAATATTATCTCCTTAAAAAAACAAACAAAAAGAAAACAACATTTAAATAAAATGTTTATTTTAAAAGATATTTTCTAGATTGTAAATATTTATGATAAATTCTAAATTGTCTTTTTAAAAAGAAAAAAAACGTGGCTCTAAACAACTTTTCTTTTCTTTTTTTTTTTTTTTTCTTGACTGGGGGCAAAAATGACAACCAACACAGAAAAAAACAAACAACTTTTTGTGTTGGTGTTAGACCAACACAAAACGTTGTGAAAAGTTGTGAAGAGAAAGAAAGAACAAACAATACGAAAAGAGTGAAATGCAGTTGGATCCTTATCTTTGACAGGACAATCTGTGCCCAGGCTTAAATATTAACCATGAAAATCAAGGTCAAGTGACACAACGTGGAGGAGTTGATTTGGTATTTATGTTTGTTTTTTTTGTTTTTTTGCAAGTTAGTATATTTTAACCCTAAGGCAGCAGGGGCGGCTAAAGCTTCTGACTCGCTGCTTACATGGAAATGTCTGAAAGGCACAAACTGGACGATGTCTCTGGCGCCTGCGTCCCCCATGGGGGACAGCAGCAGTTTGTCGTCGCTGTCCAGGAACTCCATGGCGTCGAAGTCCGCGCCGCCGACGCCCACTATGATGATGGACATGGGCAGATGGGACGCTTCCACGATGGCGGCGCGCGTCTGGTCCATGTCTGTGATCACGCCGTCTGTGAGGATGAGCAGCACAAAGTATTGCTGCGCATGGACAGACATAAAGGGACAGGACAGAGAGGATTAGCTTTAAACTTATTTGGGAATTTTTCTAGTTTCTACTCAACAGTTTACACATTTTTTTTTTTTTTGGCTTTACTGAATACTCAAATGATATATATAAAAAAAATCCTTGGCTTATGAGACATCAGAAAATCCATGAATCAGAGATAAATTTGACAGATTTTTGTTGTATTTTAAAGGGGCAGTATGATGTAAAACTGACTTTTTTTTTAACTTTATATCATTGTATTATGTTATTCCTTCATCAAAAACATTCCTGGAGTGTTGCCTTGATTCTTTCATGCATGTTTGAGAAATCCTTTAATCTCCCGTGGCAACCATTTATCTGTGGGAAACAACTGGTGGGACCTAGCCCCGCCTTTGATGACAAAGCTCCTCCTCTGGGCTGCAGTTTCCAGGCTACCAAGTTTCCACATTACACAGCAATCCTATCTCACTCAGCTCCTTCAGACTAGCCAGTAGCAATTAGCAAACACCTGGTGGAACTTCGCATCTGCTGAGCTCATTACATGAGCCACTTCTCAATGCCACACTGGTAAAAATGTTAATAGAGGAGCTATGTTGAAGGTGGAGTTTCAGAAAGAGGAGGAGTTTTTAAAGAGACAACAACCCAATTTCAAGACGTTAAAATACAAGCTAAAATTTATTTCAAGTCATATTTGATATATATAGCATTTTTTTAACAACTGACATTACCACAGTTACTTGATTGTGCTATAAAATAGCATTACATGCTTGAAAACCACATAACGCTGCCCCTTTACAGTATCAAAATGGTTGCCTACCGACGCAGCGTTCTGGCGGAGAGCTTGTCTGGCGAAGCAGGCCACGTGGTTGATGACTGGAGAGAAGTTGGTTGGACCCCACAGCTTCACCTGAGGCAGACACTGCCGGTAGGCCTGCGCCACCCCCTCTATCCCTACAGCACACACACACACACACACACACACACACACTTCTCAGGGTAAAAGCCAGCACAGCTGCAATCAAAACTTGACGAAAGGCTCACCTACACAGAAGGGATTTGCTGGATTGAAGTTGATGGGAAACTCATGAGAAACCTGTCAGCATGAGGATTAAAGAAGATTAAAAACTACATGATAAAGTGGTCTTTGCCACACAGACGCATGAAGAAAGAATGGAGATCAAGGGTGTCCAAAGTGAGTCAAGATTCAATTTTGACTTCTTATTTTTAGTCACGGCAAAATCATTACAGACTAATTAAAATCTTATGTTGACTCTAGCAGAAAGTACTTGGATTTTTTTAAATATTTTTTTAATTAAACTTGGCTACGTACTTGTCAATAAAAGTGACTTAAATTTTGTTTTGATTACTAAGAATTGAAAAAAAGTTCTGTTATTTTCAGTCAAGATCTTTAAAAAAAACTGTAAAGTGGATCACTTTTCTTTTTTTATGTTTTGGATTTACAACAATTTGCACATCCCTTTCCAACACCAAAAGATTGGCTGCTTTACTCGTGTAATTAAACTGTTGCAGCTTACAGTAGTTTATCGTTGTGCAGATAAAATAAATACTTCTCTTTTCTGCCTCGTGGTTTTGGTCTTGTGACTTGATGGTTTTGGCTCAAAAAGTTTGGACACCCCTGATATTGAGTGTGTTTAGCAAGAAAGGAGCTCTGATGGCTTCACAAACAAGCTAATGTAAATACTGAAGATTGTAAAATTGAGATTAAATGTTCTGCTACATCTGAAAAGCAGTTTTATTTAATAAAATATGAAGTTTTCTGTATGACTGTCAGGTTTAATAGTGTGTTTTTTTTATACCTGCCATGATGGAGGGATCTGAGCTCCAAATCCAAACACTGGAAACATCTTAGTACTAAACATAAAGAAAGTCACAGTTAACATTCATCCAGTCAAATCTAGTCCTGTGGAGAGGCAGTAAAGTCATTTACTCACATAAAACACTGCTGCACAAATAGGAATGGTTTTTGTAATATTGTTTTCTTTCCAATACAATGGGAAGAAAACTTTTTTAACCAAAAGATTTTTTTTGTCCTAATTTTCACTTTTGGAAAAAAATGACTTCGATTTAGGGAATGTCTCTACCAGCTTTGTAGGTCTATTTTTTTGTTTGTTTGTTTGTTTTTTTTACCCATGGTTCTTTGCAAATTTGGCTTAAACTCAGCCTGACAGGATGTAGAGTCTGTGAACACCAGTTTCCTATTTTTCCCAAAGATTCTCAATTTCAATTAAGTCTGGACTTTGACTGGGTCATTCTAAGCTATGGTCTAAATCAAGGGTTCCCAAACCTTTACATATCGAGAGCCTCCTCCCAAACGTCATTAGCTTCTGCCCTTCAACAAAATAAAGATATTGACTAAGATATTGAAAGCCCCTCACTTTTATTCACTATTTAATAATTATTAACTGCTGTGTTGTACATTCAGATTTTAGTCGGCCATGAGTCCTCAGGGTTTTATACACCAGTGTCCTTCACGGTAGAGCTGAGGGACGGTTTTGTTCCTGACAGACGGTCGTCCATTTTGCGCTCACTCTGCTAGCTTGAGGAGCAGAGCCGGTTGATCAAAAACATGAGCATGGTAAATAACCTTTCAATAACTTATTTTAACTTATATTTTATGATAATCATTGAAAAACAGATTTGATTTTGTTATTTAAAAAAAACCCATTACAATTAAAATTTTATTATTTATTAAGAACTGCATTAGATTTAACTTCTTGTATTTTTTTTTTGCCTTTGTTTCCCTCATCTTTCCTCCAGCGTATGAGGCTCCCTAGCGCCACCTGGTGGACCCTCAATTTGATGTCTAGGTCACCTTCTTCCACATCTTTGAGTTTCTGCAAGGCTTGTAGCAAACTGCAAACATCACTTCTTACCTTTCTTATAAAAGTTAATATTCTGTATCCTTTATTTCACATACAAGGATACAATAAATACATTTAAGTTTGTTGCATGACAAAATATGAAAAAGTTCAGGATACATGAACTTTGCATCAAACGCTATGGCATATAAGGCTGTGGTGCGTAAACTGTAAACTTCTTCCACATACTGTGATTTTGTCTACACTGATGTTTGCTCCTTTCTAAGATTGGTAAAAAAAAAAAAAAAGTTTATTAACAATGGTTACAATTAAGGATGGGTTGCGACAGCTGATGTGGGGGTAAACAACCATGATATGTAGTTTACCTGTCGTAGTCTTGGATGACGTTACCTACGGCCCAGATGGCCTGCAGATATTCATTGTAGCCGTCAGGGCTGATATAGTGAAGGGACTGGGGGGACATGGGGTCACCATTAGAGCCTGTAAAGTCGATGGCAATCTGGGCCGCCGCAGAGAGAGAGAGAGAGAACGCAAAAATAAAAGAGCATTCTACAAGACAAGACCAAGTAGTTTATGCTAGGCATTTCCAAACTCACCGTAAAGTTGATCTGACATCCTCCCATCACATAATCCAGGAAGCTATATTCCTTCTCCACCTGAAAGACGCAACGTTACTTTAACCGTATCCACAAAAACGAGACATATGGAAAATGAACATCAACAATATTAATTGGGAGTCGTCTGAAATTCAACTCAGACTCTTAAGACCCGTTCACACCTCTGTCTATACAGACAGAGGTGTCTGTATAGACAGAGGTGTCTATATAGACACCTCTGTCTGTATAGAGGTGTCATCTGGTGTGAACGGGTCTTAAGAGTCCGAGTTGAATTTCAGACGACTCCCAATTAATATTGTTGATGTTCATTTTCCATACGTTTCCATACGAGCGATTCAAATGAGACTGGATTATGGGAAATTGTGGGAAAACTTTGTGTGATGCTACAAAGGCTCTTCTGGACACCGCCAAATAAGTTCCCTATGAATTTATAAGCTACCATCAGAAGGTGCAAAACATTTCAGCATCACATTTTGTGGAAGTTTTTTTGAAGGGATGCACCGATGTCAAAATATCAATATCTGATATATTTTATATTTCACCCCCCTTTTGACATTGTGACATATTCACCTATATTTTCTGTATATCATAATGTTTTTGTTTTTTTTTTCCATTGTTACCTGGCAGCGTTTTATGCAAATGATCCCAGAGTTTTTATATTTTTTGTTTCTCAACTTTCTGGAGTTAACGCATTCGAATTCCGCCTGAAAATGGAAAGAGATGACGTATTAATCTTTGTAAACTACAAACAGTCACAAAAATAAAAAGCCTAGAAAGTCTTACCGGTGACAGGTGTGTTCCTGCTAGCATCTCTGCTAGTGAGGCTGTGAAGCTCCCAATGAGGTTGTGCGAGCCGTTCACGTGGTGGTCGTAGCAATCCACCTAAGAAGAAGAAAAAGAAGGCTTTCCTCAAAACGAAACATCGTCATATTAAGTTTCAGCGTCATGCACGCTTCATCATATTATAAGCAGCAGCGTTACCTCAGATGAGCTCAAATGAAAAACGAAAAAAGGGAAAAAGCCCACCTTCACACCGTCATCCACGAATCATGCATGTGCTTGTTCGGCTGGGTGACAAACACTGCGGCTTTTTAGGTTTGGTAGCGTTACACAACAAAAAAAAAAAGAAAAGAAAGTGCAATACCGCATGAATTAGTAGCATGTGAGAGAAACAAGTCCACAAAAATAGCTGACATATTTTTGTTCAGATATGTTGTAAGAAAACATATTAGTTCATGTTAATACGGAGCATTTTCAAACAAAGTAAGCACACCTGCTTTTAAATCCTAATATCTTACAGCTTCAAGAGCGCAACCACTCTGCCATTACAGAGACATTTGTTGCTGTAGCATTTTGCTAACACAATTCATAAACTCAAATTGAAGTTTATATTTTTTTAATATATAAATTCCCAGTGTTACAGTTTGACAACTACAAAATGATATTTATTTTAGGGTTTTTGATACCAAAGGTGTCAAAAAATGTGGATGTTAGTGTAAAACATTAGAAATAACTTAGCAGTTTACTTACTTTTGCCATCACTGTAAAATGTAAGAGAAAAGATTACCTTTATTGGTTTTTCCACATCTCCCCCACAGAGGGCTCGCAACGAAATACGGAAAGGTCTCCATACTGGGTTCAGGTTGTTATAAACAACCTGCACAAACAAGCACAAGCGTCCTCAGACCGAGCAACGGTATCTCTGCCGCGGGTGCATGAGATCCAGATAAATGCGTTTACCTCTGTCCTGTGAGCCAGCTGCCATCCCGTTTCTGTCTGCTTGTAGAACTCCAAGAAAGGGTCGGACCACCAGAGAAACTGAACGACGTTACAGCCATTTTTATCACATACAGGATAAGCTCGAGCAATATGAAACTCCAAAACAAAAGCATCTGTACCTTTTTGTCAAGCCTTCTCGCCGACACTTCAAAGTTTGCCACTCTTGTGTCTGTTATTTCTTCAGCACATATCTATAATTCAGTTGACAGAGGGGTACAAGCTTATTTGTAATCTGACTTACTGTTCCGGCCACTTTCCAGCACAGTGAAGCATATTATAAACCATGTTTTAGATTGTTGGATGAGACGACAGTGACGAGGAATGAGTCCACCTACAGTAATTGTCCCGTTGCCTGCAGGTCTCTTGTCCGTCAGCAACAACTGTCGGGTCATCTGCCTGTTGGAAACTATCTGGATGCAAATAAAAACAACTCTGTTGCTTTGAAAAAGGAAAAGAAATTGATGGGGTTTTTTTTATACATGTATACATATATAACTCACCTGACCAAGTGTACATTCCAGCTCCCCCAAGAAATCATCATCACTCAGGTCGTAGGTACTATTGTCGATGTCATACACGCAAAACTTCAGCTTCTGCACCATCTCAAAGCAGTAGTCAATGACAAACTTCTTGGCAAACTTTGGGTTTAGGCAGTTCAGGATCATTTCTGTGCGCCCAAGCTGATGGAGAAAGATTAATTGCATCACGTTGCTCAGGATGAATTTGTCATGAGAATGTGGATGACTTCTACAATCTCCCACCATGAACCCGACACAGACCTCGTACCAGTGGGAGCCAGAAGTGCTGATGTAAAGGGCGCACAGGGGGTCCGACTTGGAGAAGACGTCCATGTCCATCAGGTTTTCACACGAAATGGTCAGTTCCACCTTAGTGGCCAGGTGAGTGGCCACGGGAGCCGAGGCAGCTGCTGAGGCCATTCCACCTGAACTTGTTGAGAAGACAATCTGCTGTTAACGAACAAACAAGGAGTATTTTTCTTAAAGGATTTTATTTATTTATTTTTGCTCTGGTGGGATTTATTTGACATGTGAATGGACGGGCAGTTGGGTTATGAGAGAGCGACAAGTGTCACCGGGTCGGGACTCGAACCAGTGACGGAGCGAAGTCTCCTACATGGGTCGTGCGCTCTACCCACCACGCCCAATAAATTTAGGTTGGTTGATTGATTAATGGTTGATTGCAAGTGCACACCATATATTTTCGATTTTTAAAAAAATATTTATTGAAAACCATGTATTATCTTGTTTTAGTCGCATAATTATGCACTACCTCTGTTGTAAAATGACAAAATTTCCTCAAAATACACCTAAGTCTATCATTTTACTGCGAATTACGTGGAAAATCTACATGGTTAGGAAACTTGTTGCATAATAGTGTTGCAAAAACTTATTTTCCTCAGTGACAGCACAGCGCGACCGTACAGATGAATGCAAAAAACAACAAAAACATTATATTTACTCTAAAAACATAAAGAATGGACATCGTTGATACATCAACCAGGAAAGTGACTTTGTTTTGGAATTTGAACTTGGGTATAAACAGTTCATGTCTATGTAAAGGTTTCATCAAACCGTAACATCATTCATACAGACTTTCTAACACTACCATCACTTGTGAACGTCATATTTAGCTGCTGTACCGACACTGCAGTACCTAGAGAAGGGTGTGGCGACCAACCAAAACACGTTACAATCACTTGCAGTATCCACTCCTTAGTATTTGGAGACTTACATCAATTTACCCGTTCAGCACCTGATATAATAGCTCTTGATCCAATAACTTATTTCTGCTTCTGGCCGAGTAATGAAAACTAAGGTTTATCTGACAACAACAGCTGGGAGAGTCGGTGTGGGTGGAGCCAACTGCTGATCTTTACTCTGATTGGTCAACCTAAACCCCATCGAATCCGATGGCAGTGGAAAACTAGGAACGGTGGGTATTTTACAACAGTAGTGAAACTACGATAGGATTATTTTTTTTTAACAAATTAGCTTATTATTGACTTTTAATAACCCGGAACTCTTAAGGTATTCGTTTGTTTCTCATCAGTAGCAGAGGGACGAGCACAGGCAACGGGATGCATTCAAGAGCGGCAACACTGTTTCGTTATAATTTAACAAAAAAAAGTCTCACCTATTGCCGTATTTAAATTGAACAACAGTAAATAATGCATGTGAAGTTGTACTTGGATATATATTCAGTGAAACTGGGGTTGTTAAACTTAACAACCCGAGTTACCTTTAGGGATATTTGTGTTTTTAACCAATTAACAATATCGAGAAAGCATTTGTGCTCTTGAATGTTCACCGTTTGTCTCTGCTCGCCACTGCCTGGGTTGACATTAAGCCGTGCAGTTCCTGCTCATTGGACCTTTGGATCAGAGAGATGATGGCTCGGAGGGTTTTAACGCGGTTTGTGAACAGGAGTTTGCTGGAAGCTGCAGTCGGCGCTAAAGGCGGAAGGATCAGGGGGTCGAACCGCTTCTACCGGACAAGTGCCAGCTGGACAGTCGGTGCTCTTGGTGTAAATACTTTATGTTTTGTTTGTTTCTGCCTGCTTAGCTGACGATAAAGCTCTTAGTAATGGAGAGGTTGCCAGTCACTTTCACGGGGATGATGTGAACTGATAGATGATGAAAGCAGGTCAAAGTTCACCAGGGCTTTAATCGTGTTTCGCACTTGTTAAAGCTTCCTGAACTTATTAGGTCTAATAAGTTCAGGAAGCTTTAACAAAAAGTTCAGAAATACATGCGAAAACTTAATTTCCAAGAGAAAGCCAAACTTTATTTTCTATATAAATATAAAAATGGGATGTTGTTACTTTAGGTCAGCTAGGATACCAACCAATAAAACACAAAATACAACTTTTAATCCTTACCTTTGTTTTTCTGACCTGTTCTTGTCCACAGAGTGGAAGAGCAGCATTCCTGCTGGGACTCCCTGTACTGTCTGGTCTAAGTTACCAAGCTTTCCGTAACCTGCAGAGTTCAGCCGTGGTCTGCGCTTTAGATAAAGGTAAATAGGCAAAATGGGTTGGATGTAGTGGGGGTGGAAAGAAATAATAATAATAAAAAAATCTAAGTGATTTTGGAGTTAAATAGATTCAGTACTTATCAGATGCATCTCCACTGACAACGGGTGTTGTACTATAACAGCAGGATGTCATGTTTTGTGTCTGGGCAGATGAGGTCCTGGAGCAGGCTGACTACCTGTACAGCTGCGCAGACACAGAGAAGCTCTACCAGCTGCTGCTGCAGTACAAGGACAGGTGAGCCTGAACTGCAGCTGCTCACTTTCAGATCAATTTCTGTCCAAAATGCATCGAACTTAAAGGCGAATTTCACTAAACAAGACTGAACGGAAAGTTTTTTGGTGATTTAATACAAAAAGTTTACAATATCCAGATATTACAGCTAATTAAGATCCAAAATTAAGGAGTTATTCCAGAAAGTGTGAATATTACACAGAAAAAAATGACGCAGAAATACTATGGCTTACATATTCATGGGGAAGACTGCTTGCTAATTTGACAGTCACTGACACTCACCACAAAAAAAGGCTAAGCCATATGCTTGGTCTTTGCTGTATTGAAGCAGATCAGAAAGTTAAGTGGAAGAAAAAAAGAGCTACAGGAAAATCTTGACAAGAAAGGGATACCTCCAACTTTGGATACGGGAAACATCGGCCATTTTTCTTGGATTTAAGTCAACCCTTCAACATCAGAAGGAATCTGGTTTTTATCCAGTAAAGAACTCCGAGTTGAATTAATTGTTCTACAAGTAAAGCTCCACTGGATGACAATAAGGCCACCCTTTTGTTGTAGTCGTTTTGTCAATCCAGTACCAGAAGGGGGCACCACATCAAATCATCTTAGCACATGGGTGGACCAAAAGTTGGGATTTTTTTCCTGGTCAGTGTGGGGTCGTCATGCAGGTTGTGTGCTTCCGTGCAGCGAGGATGCAGAGTTCCTGTGGAGGCTGGCCCGGGCGTCTCGGGACCTGTCCCTCCTGCCCGACACAGACGCCGGGAGGAAAAAGCAGCTGACGTTTGAGGCTTTTGAATATGCAAAGCGTGCTCTGGAGAGAGACGACAAATGTTTTGCTGCACACAAAGTAAGTCGGCTGTTTCACTGCAAGAAGAGGAACTGATGCAACAATCGGAACCATTATGTTTAAGAATAATGTCGTTCGGCGGTGTATTCCCAGTGTGAAATATGCTCGTTTTTCCCCCTCTTAACTCAGTGGTACGCCATTTGCCTCAGCGACACTGGGGAATTTGAGGGAGTCAAGGTTAAAATAGGAAATTCATACATCATCCGGGAGCATCTGGAGGTGAGAACATCTGGGTCACTGTCTGAAAACAAAAGCGGTACATTTATTCATCATCTTCCTCCCAGAGGTCTGTTGAGCTCAACCCTAAAGATGCCACATCCTTACACATTCTAGGTTACTGGTGAGTCTTTTTCTTCTTCTCTTATCCCAATCATTGCAGTCAAATTTAAATGGAAGTGGACACAACCTAGGAGGATTTTAGCATTAATTAACTACGTCTTAATTTATAATGCATTATGTTTTTATGATTTAAAGCACTTTGAACTCGTTACTGAAGTGTCATACAAATTCCACCACCAATCCTGAAATTAAATGAAATTGGGCTTATATAAAATTATATTTTCAATCTTCAAAAGGTTCTCAAAGACTCTTTACATTCACGTGATGATAGCAAGCTACTGGTTTGTGGCTAGTAGTGCCATTTTGCACCTTTCTACTGTTCTTTATTTTGTTCCAGTTTGAGATTTTAATGTATGAAACACCAGAAATTGATGATTCAGTTGTACACAGTGCCAGTTCACATGTCTTGGAGACTGAATGATGAGTGTTCGGTGGCCAAATTTACTGTTCTTCCCGTTGCTAACCCGTGAATCTTCATCGGATCTGGAAGCAGACCATCTGATAGCTTTTGAAGTATATCAATCCAGGTAGAGGTGATGCTCTAGTGAAATCTTATCCAAGACAATTTCTTCTTCCTTAGGTGTTTTGCTTTTGCCGAGTTGCCGTGGTATCAGCGCAAAGTGGCCGCTGTAATTTTCTCAACACCGCCTACGTCTACGTTCGAGGAGGTTGGACACTTTTCTAAGTTTTAGCCTTAACCAGTCACTGATCTTTAATCGCTAATGAATGTTTTACTTGTGTTTTTCAGGCTTTGGAGTTCTTCCTAAAGGCCGAGAAAGGTAAAACGGCTTGTACTCTAATCATTGAACAGCTCCCGTTGCCTTTAGCTGAGATTCATAATAATAATTTAGAAAGATTCTAAGCTTAAACACATCTTCTGTAATTGTTGCTTCGTACAGTCGACCCAAACTTCTACAGTAAAAACCTCCTGATGTTGGGAAAGACCTACATGGCCATGAACGACAAGGAGAAAGCGCTTCACTGGCTAACCAAAGCTAAAGAGTACCCCATCCACACACTGGAAGACAAAGAGGTATAACCACACATAGCTACTGTAGTATTAAAAGTATTCACACTCCTTGAATATTTTGTGCCTTAATCTAAAGGAGAATCTGCAGCAAGAGCAAAAAATTGCTCTTCACAGGTATCCTCTGTCCAATCCGTAGTTAGGAATAAAACATGGTTCTACGGAGCGTTAACTCACGGGGCACCGAATACATTTACGGACCAAAGTTGTCGAGAATTACTTGAGAACTTTGGTTTGCAACATTTTGTTTTGGTTCAACAAAATGCTAAACCACGTCTCCTTTTCCTTCCTCTTCAGTTTTGTACAACATTGTGTTTGTTTGTTGCATGAACTCCCACAAAGTTACGTCAAAGTTTGTGGGTTTAACTCGACCATGTTCAAGGGACATGAACACTCGAGGCATTATCCAACTGGTTTGTACTGAATGTGGCCATTGTGATCGCGTAAACATACCAGAATGTGTTCCTCTGCAGGTCCATAAAGAGGCAGTGGAGCTCCTGAATCAGCTTTGATAACCTTCTATCCACCTTTGCTCTGCGTGCCGCAGGAGGCCTTTGGACTCAAACAGAGACAACGAATGAAGAATCCCAATAGGATATGTCAGTTGCTTCACTGGGACTCAAAGCAATAAAGACAAGAAAAAAAACAGTAGATCTAGCTTGAATTTTCTACATGCAACCCTTAAGAGAAATGAGGCATTATAGTACAACTAGAAAACTAATGCCGTTAACATTTTATATTTACAGTGTTCTCAAAAGTGTTTTATTTTCATCTTCTAAAATGTCTACCAGTTGTGTCTGAAGTGATTCATAAACAATAAAAACTATGATTTGACTGCTGTTCTTCCATCTGTTTGCTGCACACTGCTGGTGAAACACGGGTACTACACTTTCCTCATTCTTTCAAGACAGCGTCATCTGCTTTGGAAATATTTCCCCAGATGATCAAAGTTTAGAAATTAAAAAGCATTGACAATAACTCCATTGAAGATTTTGAAACTGCAGCAGGTAACAAAAGGCTAGCTATTGGAGCTGATAGCTTGACTATTTAAAGCTTGATTTACTTCTCAGTCTAAAATGAATTAAATAAAATGCAACAGTTTTTAACAGAACTACTGCTTTTCTTTCTAAAATGCACTCAAACATTTCTGTGTGAACAGTGATGGTTTTTAATGACATGCTAGTAACACAATCTGTGTTACAGATTGACAACTACAAAATGATATTTATTTTAGGGTTTCAAACATCTACCAGAGTCCCAGCCAGTGATGTGCACAGCTGGACATTAGGAGGTGCTAGAGCACCTGACCTTTTACCTCTGGACAAAAAAAAGAAGGGTCCTTCTGGAGTGTTTTTTTAAATAGTGTATTGCTATTGATCTAAAATAGGTGAATATAAATTAAGTTTAAGCTTTGCCATTAAAAAAAATAAAAATCTAACATTACTATGGCAACACAGGATGCCGCCCCCCCGAACAATTTCCCCCCCAAAATGTCTGCGCACATCACTGCTGCCGGCATTGTTTAATTACTATATGTAACTAAAAAAAAAGTGAGCTTTGTTTATTGAAAATGATGCACATTGTTAAAACTAGTTGACAGAGAAGTCGTGCTGTGAAACCGTCTCTCCTCCCCACAAAAGCCAAGACAGTGACGGATTATTCACGTATTTATTCGTATCTCATAAATCCATCTCTCTCCATTTAAAATGGGTGAAATCAGATTAGAAATGAATCTTCTATACACATGGTCTCCTGTAGAGGGGGCATTCTGTACAGTGTGGTTGGTGTTTTACAGTGTGTATCTACACGTGATATGTTACAGAGCGGAAGCGTTTCAGGCAGTCAAGCCGACCCACCCCTGACCCCTGAACCAGGGGCCTGATGGGAGCTACGGTCCGACCCCGGACCAGAACGACCGGCTGCGGCAGAGGCGACCCGAAACGACCCCCCGCCGCTATTCTGATAAAAACAAAAGGCATCACAGATTCCCCATCGGTGGAGTGGTAGCTCTGCGTGGTCGATTATAATATTGAAGTATTTCATTTTACTGTCGTCTTTATGCAATCGAAACACGCAACAACTGATTTGGATAACAGATTTCTGTCGGAAAGGAAGCACAGTTTGATGGATCTCTGTATAAAATGGCCTCCTGCAGCCCCAATCAGTTGAATACATGTTATTTACATGACTGATAACGGATCACAAGCTAATCTAGAACAGTAGCTTGAGGCGCTTCGCAGTGATCTAACATTTAAATTTTGTTTCTTTTTTATATTTTTATTTTTAAAGACTTCTAACTGAAATCATCTGTAACAGCAGAGTTTGGTGTGATGTCTGTGAGAGGGGGGGAAAAGGGGCACTGTCCCTTTAGAAACTGAAGGAAACCTAGGCTGTGCAGGTTTTTTGAGTCTCTACATGACGCAAATAAGGCTTTCTCAGCTCACAATGTGAGCATCATGGATGAAGTAGCTGGGTTGAGCGGTCAGACAGCAGCATTTTCTCCCCCTCTGTTCTGCCTGCTTCTCTCAGTAACACGTTTTTTTTTTTTTTTAAACACCATCACCTTCGGCCTTACGTGAAAACAGCGGCTAAAGATATCAGAGCCTTATTTTTCTCCGATCACCGTCTGCTAAAGGGTTGAAGACGACGCAATCCTGCTAACATGAGGTACGAATAATCAAAACATAGTGCTGCATCGAACACAGTGGCTTCAGAAGGACGCGACCTACAGTGCAACTCCAACATCTGCAAATCACACGAACTAGCGCCGCTGTATCTTTTCTTTTTTGTTTGTCCATTTTCTGAGTTGCAAACGGAAACTGCAGATGATCAGAGTCGTTCTCGTAGATCGCCGTGCCAACGCCGTTCTCTCGTTACGTCACAGTGTGCAAAACAGGCCGCAGTCTTGATACAGCCTGGAACGTTTCTGGCATAAACCGGCACTACTGTCACCACCCACACACACTCTCACACACACATACATACTAATGGCTTGTTTTCAATGAAATTTTTAAAATATCTAATATCCTCCCATGAGTTCTCATCGATTTAAAGACACAATTACGATTCCTTTTTTTTGTTTTTGCCCCAGAAGAGATGATCCATCGGCGATTTTTGTCGTCGAGGATGGCATCGATCCATGCCGGAAAAATAAAAAGTCTGCGTGCACACGCTCGCGGCGGCGCCGGCGGTCGTCTAATGTTCGTAGGCAGCATGCAAGCACGCAGGATTTTCTAAAACGACTATCTGTCCAACAAGGAAAAAAACAAACAAACTGAATTTCAGGCACTGAACGCCAAATACAACTAACTTTTTGCCTTTTAACAGCTCTATAGAACTAGAGCTTTAAAAGAAGGTTGAGCCTAAACTAGAAAACCCTCTCGAAAGCACTTTCAGTCTTATTATTTCTTTTTTTTTTAAAAGCCAGTCAGCCGCTTGGGGTGGATATCTAAAAAGAAAAAAATATATATCCATGATTTCTGTTTCTAAAACAGAAAAGCGGATGGATGAAATGTTTTGCATATTTTCATGGAGGGGAAAAGGGGGCGTTATATATTATATAAGGACTAGGAACAGGAATGCGGCAAAAAATGATGCTGCAAATTAGGATTTGGTTTTAAATGACAAAATAGCTTATATACATTGGTGGTTATCTTGTGCAATTTTTTTGTTGTTGGTTTGTTTTTCTTGGCTGATTGAACAGCAGAGAGGGGGGGCTAGCAGAGGGGACAACACCAGAGGACTTTGTCCCTCTATTCTTGGCCAAATCCTTCGGTTTCCTCGATGGCGAAGAGCAGCTTCTCCTTCAGCTGTTCGTAGCTTTTATAGGGAGGCAAGTCCAGGCGGTTAAAACTGGAACAGAGAGTTTAGGAGGAGGAAGTCAGTAGAGAATTATTACAACCTTCTTCAAGGCGTCGTTACTGATGTCACATTTTGTATCTTTTCAATCAATCTAGTGGGGATTTCACTTGATACAACACAAAGTAGCAATTTTTTTTTTCTTCAAATCATACTCAGTTCAATTCTTGGTGGAAATATTTTGCTTTTGTACATCTGAAGAAAATTATTTTTTTCATCTTTTTGAAAAACTCCAAGCTTCACCAGATTGGATGAAGGGCAGCTGTGAAACCCTCTTTTCAACTTTTCATACAGATTCTAATTAAGACTTTAGACTTTGACTGGGCCATTCTAACACACGTGTATGCTTTTAAGAGGTTGTATTACGTGTTTTCCAGCCATTCTGTAGCATAAAAATGCTGCATATATCTGATATGACTTAAAATAAATTTTATTTCCAGATTGAACACCTTGAAATTGGGTCTCTGTCCCTTTAAGAAAGTTCTACTTCTGAAACTCCGCCTTCAGGAAGTCATCACAACATGGCTCCTCTGTTAACCCTTTAAAAACATTTTTACCAGCGTTGTACTGAGAAGTAGCTCCTATCATGAGCTCAGCTGATGCTCAGTTCCACCAGGTGTTTGCTAATTGTTGCTGGCTAGTCTGAAGGAGCTGAATGGTTGCCATGGGAGATTAAATGATTTCTCAAACATCCATGAAAGATTCAAGGCAACACTCCAGGTATCTTTTTGATGAGGGAATAACATTATAACATGATGTAAAGCTAAAAGAAAGTTCATTTTACATAATACTGCTTCTTTAAGAACAAGTATATTTTTTAAAATATTTAAGGTATTAAAATGATTGCCCCCATTAGTGCAGGAATAATGTGCCAAAAGTGTTCTCTTCGTACACAGTAATGCTTTTTTTTTTTTAAAGTCAACCCTGTTTAAGAACATAAAGTCTCACAAATGTGTCTGTCTGAAGCATGAGAAGGTTTGTAAAAAAAAATTAAAATAAATATATATACACATATACAATCACATATAATTCACAGTAAAAGCTGCAGCTAAAAGGTTTTCAAACTGAAACCTACTGACCATGTGTGGCTACGGGGAAGCCATGTGTCCTTCCCCACTTTCTCGATGCAGAACTTCTGCGGCCCGTTGCTTCCTGCAACGCAAAATGAGACAATCAAGAGGACCGTAAAGCTCCCGGCGTCGTCCGGGTCGTACCAATTCCGTCACTGACCCATCAGCTCAGCGAAGCCGCCCAGAGGAAGCCGGCAGGTTCCCGTCACAAACTGCATGAGTCGCAGACGCACTTCGTTGTCCACTTCTTTCACCAGCTAGAGGGAGGAAATCGACGGCAGACACGGTTACAGACCGACGCTTCTGGCAGGGAGCTCACATTGACGTCAGATGCAAACACATCAAACGCTTGAGCGACAGTACCTGCCAGAACCAGATGATCTGCTTGCTGTTCCTGGTGTAGTGGCGGTACACAGTGTTTCTCTGCCAGTCCTGCAGGTCCACCTCCTGCATGCCACACAGCATCACCTGGACGCAAAGACGAGCAGACTCAGAACACCGGTCGAGTAGAAAAAAAGAGGAAGCCACTGATTCATTTTGTCACAGAGAAGTCTAAAGTTGTGATGTTATCAGAATAAAAGCAAGCCGGTCCTCAGAGGAGGAGCGCTGCTGCTCACCTCCAGCTCCTTCTCGTCGAAATACTGCAACCACTGAAGCGGGACCACTTCGTTGAAGCCGTCCAGAAAAGCTTTGGTTTGACCTTCCACCCCACGGGAGAACCTCCACTCTGCCATCAGACTGCAAACACAAACAAGACATATGTAGGTTTTACTTTTCATAACGACCAAACCAAGCGTTCCCAAACTCCTCCATGGCCCCCCAAAGAGCATTAACCTCTGGATAGGGGGCCTCTTTGCAAACCCACAGACAATTCTACAAAATATGTAAAAAAAAACATAAACTTTTAGAAGGTTTTTCATTCACTATTCCATAATTATTACATTCATTTTGCATAAACGCTGCCTCATACCATTGGATTTTAGATGGTCATGAGTTCTGGGGCACAAAATTTTATTATCAGATAATATGACTTTATTACAAGGTAGTACAATTTGTGATTGTAAGAAGGTATGCAATATTTTATATTAATCACTTCAAATTTTATTTTACTACCCTGCAGTTCTCAGAGCGTTTTTCTTGTTGAACACTTCCCCATTTCTTTCCTTCTTGCTTGCGGAGCAAAGCAGCTTGATTAATTTGACTGGCAGCCAATCAGAAAATGAGCATCAGAAACGACATTTAAATTAATTATGTAAAAAAAATTAATAATTAAAAATCAGAAAACAATTAGAATTTTTTTCTTATATTTGCATGTTTTTTTCTCAACTTCTATGACACATTCTGAGGCCCCCACAGAGCCCCCTGGTGGCCACACACTGAACAACACTGGTTTAGACGACAGCAATTTCACAGGTTAGAGCAGGGGTGTTGAAACCAAAATCTAAATATTTAATTGGGAATCTTGCATTTTTGTGATTTAAAGATGCAATATTTTCATTAAGCAATGTAGAAAAGAATAATTTATTGTAGATACTGAAAAAACTCTCAGATGATGTACAGTTTTCTAACCTTTTGGGTTGAATACTCTGATTTGTTGGTCTAGAAAATGTTTTTTAGCATCAACAATGACAATGACAGTCCACAGATGCACTTTGGACGCAGCCTGGGTTTATTTACATTCTGAGAAAAATACCTGATGTACTCCTCCTTGTTCTCCTCCGTCACCAGGATGTTGGTGCCATCGGGCTTCAGGTCATGAGACGAGATTTTCCCCAAGATCTCCATGTCCACGGAGAAGTACATCTCCAGCCCACATTCCTCAATGTTGTTGTCCCTGAGGAGAAGCGATGGCATGACTGCTTCTGTTTTCATTTATACAGTAATGTTCTATGCAAGGAAATATAGAGACTTCAACCACAATGTTGGGACAACAGTATAAGCTACAACTAAAGAAAAATTATGATTTTTAATATCCTGATAAATTTGGGTTATTTTTCTGTTGAATTGTTAAAATTAACATTAATCACATGACTACACATGACTAGATACTTAAAAAAAAAAAAGGTTAAGTAATGTGTTTTCTTTGTAAAAACATGAAATAAGAAACAGAATTTGTGAAATAATACAACTGAATAGCACAAAAAGTTACAGAACTCTAGTTTTAGGCAGCTTATTGAAGGCAGACGGTTCAATTTTATCACTATTTCTTGGCATTACCTCAGTAGTTTTAATGTTACTCTGTTGTTTCAGTAGGAGCTCAGTTTACATATTGAATTAAGATACTTTGAGGTACATAAAGTAACTAAAACTTGTCAAACTAAGGCCCTAATTTCTTCTAAAGTCAGACTGCTTCTTATGTTTTGCTGCTAGGAAAAAAAAGTAGCATACAAATAGCAAAATGTGGCTTTTTGTTTCACTTGTAAGCTGTAAGCAAATTTAAATCAAGATTCGTTCATTCCTAGTTTTTCCAAACTGTCAACCTTACCTACAAATCAGATTTATACCTTCGGACATAAAGTTTGATATCCCTTGTTTTCTTTCTAGATTTGAAAATGATCTTTTGACCATTTATTTAAAGATTTAAAAAAAAAAAAAAAAAAAAAAAAAAAAAGAACATTCACACTTTTAGGAAGGAAAAACAAAGTCAGGACAAACAAACTTTAAACTTCCTTTCAAAGTCTCTTGATGCATGTCAGCTGTGCAGCCGTGACCTCTGAGGACATGAATGCTGCTGACAGTGAGCGCCGCAGCGCAAACACACAGCTCACCTGATCCAGATGAGAGAGTTGTAGAACTCCGGGTCGATGGACTCCAGGTCTTTCAGGATGAGCTTCTTGTTCAGCATTCGTTTGTAGAACGGCAAAGAGAAGCCCGTGTCGATGAACTTCCCGTGGAAAAGTGCCTGCAGAGACACAATGGGAGAGATTAGCAGTTAGCACGCTAACCGGCCCGAGAAATGCATCCGCTTATTTTGGACAATGTCTGCATTTTATTTAGCACAGAACGACGGAAAACAGTTGTGGTGGGGTGTCGGGGTGGGTTTGTTAAGCGGACGTGCCATCGCGATGAAGCGGCCAATGAAGCAGAAGTAGGAGAGGTGATCTGGGTTGATGGCCGACGCCGGGTTGATCTGCAGACAGTAGTTGCTCTTTCCTGCGTACTCAAACAGGCAGTACATGGGGTTCAGCACCTCGTGGGACAAGAGGAAGAACCACTCCCTGAGAGGCGTGGAGGAGGAGGAGGAGGAAAACAAATGCAGAACAGTGAATGATTTAAGGTGAAATCTGTTCAGGAGCGGTTTCTAAACTCATTCTGCTTACCGGGCTAAGCCACCGTAGTCCAGACCCTCCTCGCCTCTGAAGATGACGTACAGCCTCCTCCGTAGGTCGTAAGGCTTCAGAGCCATGATCTGAAAGTGAACAAAACAGACAGGAAGATAAAATAACACATCATTTACTAGCTGGACGATAAATCAACTTTATCGATTTATCAAATTTTTTGGTGTTTGAAGATTTCATTTTTGGAAAACCTGAACTTTTTTTTTTCTTTTCCCCACACCAGTGCAATCCTAGGGTTTTCATAGTTCAGCCATCTTGTTTGACAAGTGGGTTTTACAGCTTCTGCTTTGTGGACTTTGAATTCTGGTCAATTCCGCAACTCTGGAATATTAGGGCCAGGCTAAGATTCTATTTTACTTTAAACAAAAAAAAGTCCTAAGTTTACGAGAGCTACAGCGCAAAAAAATAACTTTGATCTTACCCAAGTCTAACTTTTAGCGATCATATTTAAAAGAAATACCTAATGTTTTAACACATCAATTATCTGTATGTTTGAAATTACTGTGAAAGAAACTTTGTCTATTTTGAAGCAAGAATCACACACTGAGCTGCTCACATCATGTTCCTATACCTCTAAACCTTTGCTCTTTAAAAACAACTGTTTTTTTTTTTGTCATTTTAAGATTTTAAGAATTGCATCTTTTTCTGCTATTGTGACTATATTCTCTTAAGTAAACAAAAGTTCTCACAGTCCTGCCTTAATATTCAGTCATGCAGCTCAGAGAAGGGTTGGATGAAATAAAAGCTGCATTTTAAAAATACTTTATACAATTTTCGTTTTTAGAAAAGAAAGTGAGCAAAAATAAATGTATTTTTAAGCCATATATTCCATGCCTGGCACAAACATGACATAATATAACATTTGTCAGAGGAGAAAACTCAGACTGAAGTTCTTACTTGCTGAAAAGAGTCTTCGAACAGCGTCTGTCTGGAGACGGTGATCTTCACGTGGCTTGGCAGAGCATTAGACTGAAGAACAAATCACAGAATGAGCATCAGAGACTAAACGATGCCATCAAACAGAGACGCAACAAAAAGAAAACACAGACCTGACACAGGTAACGGAAGTGAGCGAGCTTCCACCTGAAGCTGCGCTCGTATGCAATCTGTGGGCCTTTGGTGCTGAGCAGAAAAACGTTTCAGAAGGTGAATGCTAGAAAAGTGCCTCACTTCAGGAAAAGATTTGTTTTAGGATTTCATACAGTTAATAGAGAACATCCACTCTGTAAACTACACACACACACAGAGCCGAAGCTCATGGGGTAACTGATCAAAAGCAGCATGATGAATGAGAATCTCCCTTACACAGAAGACTTCCCGGTGCGCGGGTCGCTGAAAGTGGTGGTCCGAGTGTTGTGATCCACAAAGTAGCGAACTCCTTCCCTCGTGTACCGGATTTCCCACCCTTCAGGCAGAGGATCCTCGTTCTGTAGCCTGCAAAGGAACACACACACATGTATAGATTTCTAGTTTTGCTGTCTTAAAAACAAAAAGGTCCAACCAACGATGGGGTTTGCAAATTAGCCAGTGGATAGAAAACCTTCGTACAACACAAATATATATGTACATATATATTCAGTTCGAGTTTATTTTATCAAGGACCACACCGTAAATAAAGCAACATTTGTTGCCAAAGGGCTGCGAATAAAAACTCTTTATGAAACGATAAAACCGCAAAGCAGTAAATTAGTAAGATCAACTTGTAAAATGAATGACAAAACAAAATACACTAATAAATAGAGGGAAAAAAAACAAGATGAAACCTGGTGGGTGCTTCGGATCAGATGAGCCAAACCAAAACGTTACACATCATAACAGCATGTATGGAAAAGCTTTTATTTTCCATAAACCATATTATAACTCTGCATGCACCGTCCACATCTGGTTTCCATTTGCCCTGTACTCACCCTTGGGTTCGAGGGTCTTCCCACTGCGTTGTCTTGGTATTGTGGTTCACAAAGTAAACTCTGTCATTGGAGTCCACACGCCTCTCTACGGGTAGTCATGACACATAACGACATTAAAGTTAGATTAGATTAGAATATGTATAATCCAATTATTGACACAGAACTATACAGGATGCTACAGAGTTCTTTGTTACGGTCAGAGCAAACAGTTCTCACTAGAAAAAGCAGCTAAAGTGTTAGATGCTGCGTTTCCATTGACCATATAATTGCACAAATTGGAATTATGAAAATAAATTTGCTTAATGGAAATACACCAATTTTGAAAAAAAAAAAAAAAAACTCATGTTTTTCGATAAAACGGTTTTGCACTAGAATGAGTTGGTTTTTTGACTGTATCAAAGTTAGTGTATTTCACAAAACCACAATGGAAACACTTTTCTGCATCACACACGTCGCATCAACTAGATGTTACCACTGGCAGAAACTACAGAGACGACAACAGGAAGTGGTAAGAGGATGATGTCATAGTATGTTTCTCAATGAACAAACTTATTAACATGCAATTTTAATGGCATTTCTTATTTAATGGAAACAACGCAATTGCAAAATTTCATATTTTTTTTTTTTACATTAGCGTCATATCGACAAAATTTTGCATACATTTGTGATGGAAATGCAGCTATTGTCTCCAGTCTCTATTTTAAAGGACTGTAAAGTTAACAACTTTATCGTACTGCAGACCAATGATGAACTCACCCCAACCAGGAGGTAGAGGGCCAAGAGGATCATTCTCAGCAGACATCATAGATGCCTGAAATGAGCAATATGCATTACACTCCATTCAAGAAACAGGAAGAAAGACAAATTCTTTTAGGAATGTTAAAAAATATAGAAAAAATGAAATAATATTGCTGACTATCATTGTACGACTCATGTCAGCTGCTTTGTGTTTTCAGCAGAGTGCAGAAATCGAACCAAGATCAAGATCCAAGTTAATGTTTTTAATTAAATCTGTTCTATAAAAATTGTTTATTTCAACAAATTGGATTTTTTATTTTTATTTTTTTACAGAAAAAACAATCATGGAATAAACCGTTATTCATCTTACTGAACGAGCCAATGAGGGGGAGGAGATAGTCATTTAATAATAAAAAAAAAAGAAGTCAAATCAGGAAATAAGATTTAAAACTTTACAGGCACTTGCCATCAACACAGAATGAAGAAAACTGACTAAAAAGGAATCAGCAGGAAGACAGAAACGGTTGCTTACAGAGTAGAGGTATCTCTGGTTGAACTGATGCATAGCTCCCTGCAGCTGGCTGCGCTGGCTCTGCCACTGCTCAAAGTTGCGCACCGATTCCATGGTGGGCCGCTGCCACGTGGTGGTCCGGGTGTTGTGGTCCACGTAATAGATCCGACCCCGATCGTCCACTCGGCGCTCCCAGCTGGCAACAAACAGAAAAGGAGGCTTGAGTTTCAGAAGCAGAGAAACGCGAGTCCAAGTAACCGAATGATATGTAGCTCGGTGATTTCATGTGCATCATTCATTTTATGTTGTCTAGATAGAGAATAAAGGATCCACTTTTGAAATTAATGATTCTCATTAATAATGCTCAATAATTCTCAAAAAGATCTTGAAATTAATCCAAGGAAAATCTGATTTTTTTTTTCTTCTTTTTCCAAATCAATGAAAACTGAAAATTCCAACTTTCTTCAGGCAAAAACATCATCAAAAACCCATAGACCTGTTGAACTTTTGTTAAGAATGGAGTAAAATCTTGATGAAGTTTTGAGAAACATCTTGATTCATAAATGGAGATAATGTTATAACCAATTTATTTTCATGTCAATTGAGGAACTGAAGGATATTTTCTTCTTTTATGGTCAACATGTGTCAGATTAAAGTGTTACAACACAACAAAGTTTATACAAATGAGTGTTTTTCTTGTCATCTTTGTAAAGAAAATCTGAAAGAAGAGGAAGCAACAGCAAACTACATAGATTATTTGAGATTAAGTAGTCCTGTCACAACATTTAAGACCTGTGATTGATATATTTAAAGCCAACTTTGTTTTAAATACATTTAAACATTTTAAGGACTTAATTTTAGATCAATTTAAGACATTTTAAAGGATGCGTGGACACCCTGAAATCAGCAAGTAGGAGTCTAATTGGTGAATTTCTAGTTGATGCTAATAGTAATTGGTCAAGAACAGAGAATTATGTTTACATTTGCTTTAAAACTGAAAACGCCAAAACAGACGTCCCTTTCAAAGTTATACGGTCTTGAAAAAGTCTGAGGTAAAACGGCGGCCCCTCACCCTGGAGGAAGCGGCTGTGGTCTTTCCCAGGTAGTAGTTCTGGTGTTATGGTCTACATAGTAAGTTCTCCCATGTGGATCTTTTCTCTGCTCCCACCTGAAACACATCCAGCGTCATGAAGTTTGAACTAGGACGGTTATCAACTCTGTTTAAGCACTTTTTTTTTTTTTTTGTACCCTGGTGGTAGAGGGTCTCCTGCTGGCGCATTAGAAACCTGTTGTCTGGGTTTCACCCCATCAGTTGTTGTTGAGCTGCTATTACTGCCTGCTCCTGAAGCCCCCGCTTCTCCCGGCGCTGGGGAGGAGGAGGACGATGAGGACGTTGTTATGGTGGGTGCTCCCTGGGTTGCAGAGGCTGACGTGGTGGAAGCAGCGGCGGCGACGGAGGAAGAGGAAGCGGCGCCGTTGGCAGGTTTAGCAGCAGGAGACGAGGCGGAGGAAGTTGTGGGAGCTGGAGGGGGCCGGGAAGTGCTGGCTGGTGATGTTTCAGCGTCTGGCGGGGCAGCATCGTGAGAGCTCTCCTCGTTTTCACCTGCAGAGGGCTGCGTTTCCTTTCTAGAAGCAGAAGATTGCCTGGGAACAGTCTCAGAGGATTCCCCGTTTACTGTAGAATATTAAGAAAAAAAAGGAGCAAGTCTGCCTTTTACTTTGCACTTTAATAATAAAAAAAGCAGCAAAAGGGTTACACGAAAAAGAACGTTAATATAGTTTTAAATAAGAGAGCTGTTTGCATGATAATATTTTTTTAAAATGTCATGTCACTCCAGGAAGTTGCAACTATTACTGCAAATTCAATCATTATTGGCAAATTTTGCACAGACTTGCAATGTTTTACCAATCACCACAACTTTCCCGCAAATCTGACCAATCACCTTCACGATTTCTGAATTTCCTTCTTTTCTGACCAATCATTCGAACTCAGGGGAATTTTGACCAATCCACTTAGCCTCCTTTTAATTTAACTTCCCATTTCACTACATCAAACCAGCATGATACATGATGTACTTTCCAGGTAGTTAAGTAAGTATGTTACCTTCAGTTGTTATAAAAATGCTTTATATATCAAATGCGACTTGAAAGAAATTCAGCGTTTTGAAATTGGTTTCTGTCTCTTTAAGTAACTCCTGTTCTTTCTGAAACCCCGCCTTCAGGAAGTCACCATAACATCGCTCTTCTAATATTTTTGCCAAGGAGGAGCTACATCCTCGAAGGCTGAGCTATGTCCAACAAGGCATTTTGCACAGCTGAACGGTTGCCATGGGAGATTAAAGGATTTCTCAAACATGCATGAAAGAATCAAGGTACATGTTTTTGATGAAGGAATAACATTGTAACACGATGTAAAGCTAAGAAAAACACCGTCAATTCCACAAAATACTGCCCCTTAAAGGTGTGGTAACATGATTTACCAAGTCGCCTTTAAAGGCACCACAAGGGGAGACCTGTTGCTGTGCCGAGCTGCATAGTCTGTTCTGTTCAGCAATTAACCAGAGCCAAATGGCGATTTTCTTCCAAACAAACCGTGTCAGTTGAGTACTTAATGCTGCTGCATGCAGATAATGGTAGCTAAACAGTTAATATATGCCAGTCTCATATTAAGCTTAACGAGAACACTAATGTTGTTTTACCCCTTTTACATCCGTTGCCATTTAGATAGAAGTTGTAGACGTTCCTGCTTTCCAAATATTTAAAGGAAATATTCATTGTCACAATAGAAAGAGCAAAGAGTCAGGGAGGAGACATTATACTAAAGTCCAGCAGCAGGAGAGATTTTAACATGGAGAGAAAAGGAGAAGGAAAGGGAAGGTTTTGTGAGCAATTCAAACTTTTTTTTGACAATGTGGTGGGAGAGTTAAAGACAGAAGTACAAACAGAGAAATTCAGATATGGAGGGCAAACTCACAGGCAGAGCTGTGTAAATACCCTAAAGTACACAGTGACTGCAACATAAATCCTGTTGGTCCCACTTCACAAAGAGAGAAGCAGAAGTAGAGACTAGATATAAGTAGGAAGGTCTTTGGGTTCAGATCAAGGTTTTCTGGACTGAACTGAGTGACTGAGCATTCAATGTACCACACAGGGTAAACGTTTTATTCCTAAACAATTGCAGGAATATTTATGTCTCGGATAATGACACACAAACCATAACTGGAACTCAGCAACCAGTGTCCGTCTTTGGACCATCTCCAGAATGAGTCCAGAGAGCCGTTTTACGTCCGTCCCAGAGGAATGTCATTATGCAACAAAAAACGCTGCATTCATTTTTAATCAAGAATAATATTTTTTGGATAAAGGTTTTGTCTTTACTGCATAGAATGTTAAATAAAAAAAGAGCAATATTGCTCAAACTGTTTGGTAAAATCCATGTCGCACTACATTTAATCATGAAAAGTCACGCTTATGTGGAAGTGTGAAAGAGATTACACTTTTTTTAACTGTTCTGAAAAAAAAAAAGGGAAAAAGGTTGCATTTCTTCACTGCATTGCAGTTTACACAGACAGATTTAAAGAACTAGAAGAGCATTAAACCATACCGGCACTTAACGGGAGATCAGATGAACAGTAACGACCTATATTAATCAGAAAAGTGTGGGTTTTTCTCTTGAACAAACAGGGTAAACGTAGCTTTTTCTTCTGTTGAAAAGAAGTAACCTTCATTCATCATCCTCAGCTGAGAGCAGCTCTGCAGCATACTGCGCTCTGCTCCGCTTTGCTTTATGCGTCTCCTGGGTGTTCGGACAAAGGTGCTGACAGCAGCAGAGACTGCAGGCCTCACTTAATGAAAATTAATCAACTGTTCTTCTTTACACTTCATTACAACCCCATGAACTGTGAAGAATACAAACGTAAAGATCATTGAATCCATTTCCTGGAAACAGAATAGGTACGTGGAAAAAAAAATGTAAAACTAAAGAGAAAGTCAAATTATTACAAGAGGGAGAAAAAAAAAAAAAAAAGAAGAGGGCGGTAAAGTCAAATTTTGTTGCCATGAGAGAGAGAGAGAAAGTAAACCCACCCATTCTGGTGTCTGGGCCGCTGTCTGGAGGTTGGTGCACCGGGGTGGAGTTGGGGGTCGGATCTCCGTTGATCACAGCGGTGGTGTGATCGAGGGCAGGGCTGGAAGGCACCGGACCATCTGCTCCGCTGGAGGCTGAGCAAGAGCCTGACCTCTGACCCAAGTCTGTTCCATTCACGGTGCTTTAAAAGGAAAGTAAACATTACTTAGCATTACTTTATGCTGGTTTTGCTTTAAAGGTTGAACCAGTTGTTATTTCTCCTTAAATCTCTTTGAGCGATAACTCTCTGGGTTTTATGACAAGTTTGTGTATTGCAGTGTTTTTGGCTTCTGCTTCAAGCACCTTGTAAAGGCAAGCAATGCAAAGACACAAACTATTCCCCTCTGTGGTTGCAGCCCATTAAAAAGGTAAACAGAAGTATAAATGTACACATTGTTTAAAACAGGGGGAAAAAAAAAGAAAAAAAATCACACTCAGAGTTAAGTTTGAGGCAAAGACGTGGCTACAGAAAGACGGACATAAAATCTCAAAGCAAGGCGGAAGGATCTGTTTTGTAGGCAACCTTACAATAGACTGGTTTATGTTTTACCAGCACATGTTAGCTACATAAAAAAACACTTAAAACAATAAGTTCTGAGTAAATAATGAGTGATAATATATAGAATTTTTTATTAAAAAATCTGAAGTTTACTTGTTATGAAATGGCCCTATGTGCCTGGAAAATACTTGATACTGCCCCTTTAACTTGCTGAACAATCTTTACAATGTTCAAGTACAACGAAGACCCTTCATTGATTTAATTTTTTAAGACGTTGACCTAAGTAAAGAAATACAAAATTGATTGTTTCATGAGTTTACCTGTTTGCAGCCCTTGAAGAAGAGGAAGAGGAGTCTCCGTTTTCATGAATGGCATCACCATTCTGCTGGACTTCTGGAAAATAGATTTAAAAATAAACGAATGTTAACGTGGACATGTTATGCTGAACAGACTATAAGGCAGATCATTCCCACTAAGAAGTATATTATCTTGAATATATTGAACTACATTATGCTTCAAACTGAACTTTTTCCTTGATGGACCACACACACACACAGTTAATATAAATAAATAGTGCGCTCACTGGTGCCATTTGCTGCGTTGCCATTGGTCAGTGGCGCCAGTTCCTCCTGGTCAGTGACAGTCAGGCCATCAAGGTACACAGTCAGCTCGCCGACAGGCACAGAAACCCCTTTCTGATCCACACTCAGCTTCAGCACCTCCTTCACATTCTCCACTGTGGAGAACAAACGAGGCAGCGGGGAGAGAGAAAGCTCACAGTCAGAGAGGAAAACAAAGAAAACGATACAATTAAATACATTCATGCACCGACAGAAGTTTTTCTGGCTGGTCAGCAAGCTTTAAAAAGCCTGACATGCCGATTCTGATTTTGGTCGATACAGATTGTTTTTCCTTTGTTTTTTTTTTAATAAATGACACCATCAGGTGTTATAACTGATTTCACTTGGGTCTGAAACATGGCTGGAAACAGCAGCAGAGTTGCAAATTTGGCAACATCTGTGGATAAGAACGGTTTCACATGTAAACGTCGGCCGATTGCCAGTCATCCAAAATTGAGGAAATTGCTGCACTGATTGATCAATAGTCCCCTTATTCCATCTCTGTTCCTTTGAAGCAGTTAATTGCCACTCTTCATCTTTAATCTAAATTGCCATTTACTTAAGATGCATCTATGATATTTTAATGGTGAGATAAAATACCACAGTATTTACAGAAACACGCAAGACAAAAACACATTGCATTAATCTAAAATAGAAACTAATTATTTTTCTAAATGATGCTGAAATTACATAAAAAAACAACATTATTAATTATTATTATATGCATTACTACTAGTTATTTGGAGCTATAAAATACAGTCGGTGTAAAACTTTGGATGCAATGACAATAACGGCCAAACATCTGGGTGGAACGTTAATAATTTAGTTCATTATAAGGATTCATTCTAAGTATTTTGTAGAGTTTATCATTGCATAATCAGACGTTGCTTTTTTTATATGCACTATTTTCCTAAACTGATTAAAGCTTTAGGTCTATGCATCTTATAATCTCACATTTTCTGTCATGCCGCTCCAAAGCCTGAATGAGATCCAGCGTAGCTTTGCCCAGCAGAGCGTCTGCTTTCAGGGTGTGGTGACTCCATACTTTGAAATCCACCTGCGTGTGTGGCGTTACAGTCCTACAAAAAAGCAAATATTTAAATCAAAAACACATAAAACACTTCTTAAGTGATAAGAGCTTAAAAAAGGACACAGTGAATGTAATAAGTTAAAAAACAGAAAGGAGGTTTTGGAGTTAACCTTCACACTTCTGCTGCTGTTGACATAAACAGTTCATACACTTTAATCAGGATGCCATTTACGACTTTTCCTTCAGCCGACTGAAGTTCAGCACAGCAAGTTTAACATCTAACAAATGAATAAAAACACTGATTTTTTTTTTTTCTTTTCATTTTCACATTTCCCTCCCCTAGAAATGATAAAATCCACGTCTGGCACAATGCCCCGTCGTTGAGTTTCAAACAAGGACAAAACGAGCAGCACACAGTGCGGTCATTGTTTGAACAGCCCAGCATACCACTCCAAAGGGAAACATCTTGCATTACAACCTCAAAGTCACGAGAAGGACCCACAGGAGCGAGCAAAAACATCCACGAGCCTCTGAGCACTGTGACGGCCGCTCTTATCAGCACTAACTAGCCGGGTTGGAACCGTCTGCAGTGATTCATTCCTGGCTTTCGGTCGAGATGCTGCAAGAGAAACTGCAGTGTTTGTGCTGTTAGCTCTAGTTGTGAGAAAACACAAAGAGGTCTGTGTGCTTGCAGGCAGCTTCCTCGCTTTTTCAAATGATTATCAGATGAGCCACCGGAGGGGGTTTTCCTCCTCGGATGCTACGCGGAATTCACAAACTGTTTGAAAAAGCTGGATTTTGATTGCGTAACGCTCAGTACGGGACACGAACCGAGCTTATTAGAATGGATCCTTCTGCCTCTCTAATGGCGTTTTTACACGAGCTCAAACGCTGCCGAATGTCGTTTTCACACAAACACGGCGAGCCAGGCAGGAAGGGGTAAACGGACGGTGCTTACAGAGTCAGCCTCTCGTCCCATTTTGGGTTGGAGGAGCTGTGAGATTTCGCCGTGCGGCGGGTCTCTCCCTCTGCTGTCACCTCCACGTAAATGGCCGCCCCGAAAACGCTCTTCTTCCTCTTGAGTTTGGCACATGAAACTAGAGGACGAAAAAAAAAAAAAGAGGAAAAGATGATTGAAAAAAATTAGACCTGAAAGGTGATCCTCCGGTTGAGAACACGTTGACTCACCAATGGCATGGAGCTGTGATGTGCGTCTGTGGTTATGGCTAGTCTCTGCTCTCGATGAGGCCGTGGCCATGTCATTCACCACAGTGGGAAAGCCTTTGAAAGGAAAACACACAACAGAGACGTCAACCGCTAACTCCGCACGAATTCACAAATAAGACCCGGGCGAAAGGCTCCAAAGCTAATAACGACCGGATCTACTCATTACTGTTTTCAGTCAAAGTTCAAACTGATCCTTAGGAGCGTAAAAGAGATCATCATAAAAAAAGCAGCATTATGTTGTTGTAACCTTAATATTAGAGTAATAAACTGATGCATACTCACAACAGATGTGTTTTGCTAGGCCCTCCTGTTCAGCCTACTCCGTGTCCCATGGCGGCACTGAAACCAAGATCACAATAGATCAGAGAAGCAATAAAATTTAAAAAAGGATAAAGCAAAGTGCATTGGATGCATCAAAACAACCTCATTTTTGGTCTCTAGGCTTCATCAACCAACTGCAGGTGTCTTTATACATTTTTCTTTGCTTAGTCAAATTCAGATAAGGGCAAGGAACAAACTGTCCCTCTTAAAAAGTGTACACACCCCATTAAAACGCCAGGACTTTGCAATATAAAAAAAAATATTGGAGCATTAAAATAATAGCCTACGTTTTCTTTCTGCACTTAATGCCACATTAATCCTGTAGATTTGAACTGAAAAAGCAAAACAAGACGATAAATAAAAGAGGGCAAACACTTAAAACTTTAATAAAATACCTTTTTGATTCCACAATTCGTCACAATCGGAATTACGAAATACGTCAGGGAAATAAAAGCAAGATTTGCTGATATCTGACTGTGCGGGTCAAACACAGATCATGGAAACTGGAAGTGATGCGACATAAAAGCCATCACAGGTTGTTGGATTTCTACGTAATAAAGCATGAAGAGCAGAAAATACTCCAGGTACGATTAGGAATTACACTGATTCGGTGGGGTAGTTTTCATGAGAAGACAAAATCTAGGACTCAGAAATCCAGCTGCACTCTGGCAGAACAAACACGGCCTGGTTATTCTTCTGCACACCTCTGCATACCGGCCAAGATACTTCGTCACCTTGTAAAAACAAGAGCAAGAGCTCGAAGGAACGCAAACACCTTGGCATCTCGCTCGAAAAAAAAAAAAGGTAAGGAAGTTCAAGGTGAGCGTTCTGGTTTTGTAGAGGGAACACACACCCACCTTGGATGTTTTGTCCCTCTTATTGCTTTAACAAATCAGCAAAATTTGCTCCTTTTTTTTTCTTTTTTTGACACAAATCCCCTTTTAATTCAAAGTAAAAACTTATTTCTGAATTAGGTCATTTAATTCAAAGGGGGTGAATAGTTACGCAATCATTTATTTTTTAAGATAATTTTATTCAATTATTATTATTTTGTAGAAATCAGTTTTGTTCATTTTTTGGCAAAAAAATAAAATTGTTGATCGTGATTGATTTGTAAAAGCAATATGTAATTAGTTTTTATAGGCCCTGTAAATGTGAGGGCAGCATGGATTGTGGGTAAAAGTCGACGCCTTTCTGAAACTGAGGTTGGAAAGCAATGGGCCTCCATGTGTCTGAAGACGTTTAAAGTTCAAACTATTAATGGTCTGTAATTTGCATTAGTGAAATAATTTTTCCTTCGTGGACTGGGCACCAACACGGTTTCCAGCCCAGGGTCCCACATCCTTGTAAATCCGGCCCTGTAGTCGACCACAATATCATGCCGGCATGAGAAGAAGGCAACGCCAAAATCTCTGAGCTAAAAGGGTTTGCGTGTGAGGCATGTCTGCTTCAGTTCGCCATTGTCTCTCTGCAGTTGTTTTCAACCAGAAGGGTCACATGTTGGCGCCAAGAGAAACAAATATGTAGCGCCTTTCTTGGCATTTTGTTTGTGCTTCAAGCTGCAAATTCAAACTTTTTCAAAAAGCAAAAAATAAAGTTTGTTCTTTCCATGTCTGTCGTTCCTAAGCTGTAGGCTGGACATGAGAACAACGAGCAGAGAAAATATTATTTACAGGAGATCAGCTGGGTGTAATTTGTTGCCGATGATATTCTTCCCAAAGGCCAACCCTCTGAAAGGAGTCGCACAGAAAGAGATAAACACGGCCAGGCCCTCACATAACCTCGCTGGATGACTGCTGCATTATTACAGCGGCTTTAAAAAAAAAAAAAAAAAAAAAAAAAGTAAGGAGTGCACCACACGACAGACTGAAAGTTAGGAGGACGTTTGAAACAGAGAAAAAAAAACATGTAAAAATGGTGGTGACATCATCTGTTGTAAGCTGTGATAAAGTTGAGACTGGAGTGGCTGAAAACAAAAGTATGAACTATTTAGTTTGTTTTAAAAAAAGACAAAATGGAGAAAGTTAAGCTTAAAATACTTACTACTAACAATGATGCAGTACTTTGTGTTGGCATATAGTCTAAAATCAAAGTACAATACATGGTGTTTGTTGCTGTAACATCATAAAATATGACAAAAAAAAATGAAAAAAAAAAAAAAAAATTCAAGGGCTGTAAATAGTTTTGCAAGACGCTTCCGTTCTCACAAACGACGCAAATGTGAGTTCGATATTTCACATTCCTCTGCTTCCCATCCTCCACCTTACGGCTGCATGCTGGACATGAACGAGGCAAAAGAAGAAGAAGACGGTTTGAGTCGGTCAGTGGATTTTTCCTAACCTGTTGTCATCACTGCAGCGGTGTGCGGGTGGATTTGCTTACAAAACAGAGCGAGGGCCGGGTACCGCTCGAGCATAATGCCCTTTATATTTTCTGCTGCATGCACTCTGGTTTATCTGAAGCAGGAGTCGGGCATAAAATCAGAAGCTTTAAAAAAAACACACACACACACACACACACACACACACACAAGTACTGTGGTTAAATATTATCCCAAAAATAAAAGTCTGTAAATGGACAACATCCTACACTGTGTTTGGGATGAAGACACTTTAGGCAACCAGCAAGGAAACCTGCTGACCTTTGGAAGGTGCAGTCTGGACAGGGAGATAGTGAAGGCCTGGAGGTGCAGAAATGCATCGAGTCCAACAGCAAAACCACAAAGAGTCGGTCTGGATAACACCAAGAGATGATTCTGCCTCCAAATCCATTTTCACAATATTTTGCATTGCATCTCAACCAAGCTGAACTTAATAGGTTGCATCGTTTTTTTCTGCAGTGTTCAACTGTAAAAGGAATAAATGCTAAAGAGCAAAAAAAATTTTAATAACCGAGTCCCTACAGGAGTTTGCAATTGTTTTATGATTTTTTTTTTGCAATCAAACTCACTGATTTTGTGACACTACTTTAGAAATATTTGCGCTTAAGGGTGTGAACCTTTTTGTCATTTGCCATGACGATCACGGACTATAGCTTGACATCAAGTGATAAGTTGTAGAAGTAAGACATACTGCCACCTGTAAGTGGGAGTTAACAGTCACCTAAAGATACAGAATGTAACTTATTTAAAAAAAAATCTCAGCATATTTCCTAAAAGTATCATTATACTCCCAGTAAGTGGAGAAATACACCACTCAGTCACTCTCATGCTCATTCCTTCCTGCTTTGATTTTGCTACACTACAACTGGCCTGCCACCAATGCTAATGCTAGTTAGCACAGCCACTGATGATGGCGGATCAACAGTTTTTCTGCAACTGTAAGTTGTTCCTTCACTGTTAGCACATTTAGCAGCATACACAAAGTTGATTGACAGCATTAAGAGCCTCCTTCTGGCTCTGATTGGTTGTTTTAGAATGGGAGCGAAGCATTTCTGCAGAAGGTAATATTAGCTCAGGGAGAAGGTGGAGGAGATCCATTTTTTCCACACATTACCCATCTCATCTTATACTGTCACAACATGATGGTTTTAATAAATAAGGAAAAATAAATATTTTTTATATGCAGCTTTAAATTCAAAGTTTTTGACTCTTTGCACAAAATTTGCAAAAAGCTCATAATTATGCATTACCACAAAAAAAGTAGGCATCTGTTTATTTTGAATGAAATTCTACAATAGAGGAATTGCAAAAAAAAAAAAAATGAAGGGACTGAAAATTTAGCTAAAGTGTATTCTTTACCAGTCACAAGCAACATTTTATTTGAAAAAAAAAAAAAGTATAAGTAAATAAATAAAGTTGGAGGTTTGCCCTCATTCTTTGTTTTTATGCGAATACTTTTCCTTGGTCCTGTTTGCCTTAAAGATGTAGTTTCACAAGAAGAGACTATGCAAACAGGAACGTTCCAGTTTCTCCTCAAAAGACAATCCACCCGGGAGCGATTCCTTCAATGTTCCATCAACACAACCTGGCCAAGTTAGACATCCAAAATCCTAAAATACGACAGCACAGGATGCTGTAGAAAACAACATTAGCATCTGCAACACATTTCCATTTCTCAGGCAGAAAAACCTGCTCAACAAAATGACAAATACCTCTGAGCCTAAGGCAACAAACATGTTAAACCTCTTATTTGATGTCTGTGTTTAGTGGTATGAGCACAAATTTCGAAGAACCTACAGACGAAACAAATAGTCAGAACATTTGGTGGCGTTATTACTAGAGATACCTCCTCCCACAAAAGACAGAACAAAAGTCGACGGTTAGGTTAATTAGTTAGAAATTTAAAAAGAAAAAAAAATCTGATTTCTAACACACACAATCGTTGCCAGGTCACAGAAACACTCTCCAAGTCAACTCGGCTAATTCCACCATGAGCGAGGTGTTTAGAACCGAAGCCAGAGACCGTAGTTGTTTCAGGGTTCTAGAAAGGAAACTGCATTTTCCACAGAGCCATGTTTGAAGTTACTTCAGGATGCCACAACAGAAGAAAACAGGAAACTGAAAACTTTACACTGAAAGTTGGGGTGTTTTATTGTTACAAAGAGCCCGATTTGTTCAAAGCGTATGCAGCTAACTGTGGTAATAAAATGCTAAAAGCAGCGTAAAATGTCAACTCTGTTACCGTGTCTTTGTTTTGAAATAACTGAGAAATCCTGTTTAACTGCATAGCCGTCTAGTACAGCGGTTCTCGCTCTCACAAACGCGACATTGCCTTTGCTCCCAATATAAATAATTAATTGATTTCCCACAGAATGGCTGCTTAAGGCTCCGTTATGATTACAATAAATGGATAAATAATTTACAAAGCTGGTACATAACAGTAAATCAGAGCTTTCTCCTCTTGGACAAAGCTGTTTATTTTAAAATGATCTCAGAAAAAACATTAAATATCTTGAAATTAAAAAAAAAGAAAAGAAAAAAATGTTAAGCTATAAAATGTAATGTAAAACGGTGACAGAGACTTGTTTAACTTTTTTTAAGTCGGATTTTATTTCTTATAGCTCTGTAACTTGGGCTCATTAAGTATTTAGTTTTAAATTTAACCCAAATGCAGAAAAAGAGTTGTATTTTACTGGCATTTATGGCTATACAACATCCAAATCGGCAAAAAAAATTTTTTTGTCATGGGTCAGAGATTTTCAGAAAGTGACCGGAAATCAGTAGCAAAAAAATCTCTAAGCAGTGCATTTGTTAGAAATAATTATTCCTGTCTGTGTTCACTCAAGATGGGCTCTAAAGCAAAGAGTTTGTCAGTGTGTAATTAAAAAGCTGCTGGTGAGGCAAGTGCTTACCTGCCTCAGGTAATGGGGATCTGAACGTAGACACAAATCACAAACAAATCTTCATAACTTTAGAGGTTGGGAGGTTGACAAAATACAGATATGGGTGAAGATTAACTAACATCAAAGGTCAAAACGTAGAGTAATCATATTCTTAAACGATAGAGCGTAAACTGAGGAGCCCTGCGTGGATATAAAATAAATTACCATGGTACTAAACAGTAATCTGGTCAACAAACATTGACCAACTTTGCACGTTCACCAAACATGTTTTTCACGGTGGTTCACAGATATAGACTCTGAACCTTCCCGGTCTTAACCCACTGTTTCTCAGCCAAAGTGTACCCCCTGTCTTATGGCACATCTCAGCAATATATCTGGCACTATGTGAACATTTTAAAGCAATGTACTGGAAGTAATCTGTAGCGAAAGCTAAAGTCTGGTAGCTAGCGCTCGTTAAGCTAGCTACTAAACTGCACATAAAATATCTTATTTTGTAGCCATTTGGTTTTACTACTACGTCGTTTGCAGGCAATTATCGTTTTTAGTTGTGAGTATGTTTTGACAAGTAGTTGAGGTGATAATTTAGCGTATTTGTTGATTTTTTTTAGAGGTAATGTTTCCTACGGACTACTAGCAAGCTAACGTTACAAACTTAGCCAAGTTAGCGGTTCTCCAGCAGCAGCCGGGATGCACATATTTCCCCAAAACATGTTTAACAGTCTCAAAAAGTCTGTCGGAACGCCTTAGCAGCATAAAATACGGCGTGTTTTACCTTGTTTAGCGCTGCGCTCCTTCCCTCCAGTCTGTGGTTCGGTAACGTTAGGGCTGCTGGTCACCGCACAGGCCCCACAGTCAGCTACGGCTCTACTGCCATCTCTGTGCGGATGTTGCCGAGCAAAACACCCGGGTGTCACCCGCGCCACCCCAAATACTGCTGTGTCAAGGCAGGCGAGTTTTTCTGTTTTTTTTTTTGTTTTGTTTTTTGTTTTTTTTTGTTGTTTTTTGTCAAACTCTTTGGATGCCGCTAGCTAGAAGAAATTCGCGTTAATTAATACTTTACTTTATGTTTTATTATACGTAAGTAATTTAATGGGTTTTTATATTGTAGTTATTTTTAAATAAGTTTGAGGTCTGAGCGGTTACACTGTTATTGCCTCAAAGCAAAGGTGAATTGGAGTTTGTTTTGAATTTAATACAAAAGTACGACAAAAAATGAAGCAATTAAAGACGAGAAAACAAGGCAATTTGATCAGCATAATTAGATCAGGATCGTTATTTAGACTTCACAATAACAAAGGAACAAGCTGTGAAATACAACATTTTATTTATATTTTTTGTTGTTGAAGCTGAAAACAAACTATTAAGTACTGTATATTTAGAGTCGAAGGATAATGCTGTATAGTTTTCCAAATTTTATACAATTAAAGATATTAGAAAGTATGGCATACATTTTTGCCTTTGTACTTTTTGGCTTTATTAAGCGTAACTCACAGCTGATTTGTAATTTTGTTTCTGGTCCCAAAACAATGATCCATGTTTATCTGCTCCAGATCAACTTATTCCTACCCTAAAGCACCATCATTTTGTATAGTCTTGGTAATCTTTTCAGGAATCCCCCTCTGATGAGGTATGTTTTTGTTGTTGTTTTTTGCTCAGGTTTATGTCAAATCAAAGACATCTGAACCAAATTAGCACATTACAGCACCACCCACTTTTCCTCATCTCTAAGTCAGCATATATGGGAAGAAGTTATGTTTCATACATCCCTGCAGTTACTTATTATTGAGGATATTAGACCGGTTTTCTACAAAATACATTAGATCACTTCAGTTTTCAAGACCAATATTTTAAGCTCTTCCTATTCGTTGAATTGTCAGCTAGTTTCTGCTCCGATCAGAAAATACTGCTGGATGGCATCACTGCTTGGACCAGCGAATTGGATTTCAGACTTATAGTCGCTGAATAAAAACACAACACTTTTATTGGCTTGTTATGGGGAAGAAACTCTAACTGTGATAGGCAGACCTCAGCTTTGGTCACAGTTAGGTGGGAAGGATAAAGTCACTCTGACTCTTAAAGCTCATTTAGCAAGGCAAAAGAATAAAATTTAGGTTTCCCAAAGTTTTGCAGATTTCCTGATCTGGACTGGACCAAAACACCAGAACACTAAAACATATCACTTGATCGATATTCCATCTGTAGATCAGACTGATATGATTTTGAATCACACCTCCTGTGACCTACAGGAGAAGGATGTTAAAACCATTAAAAGTTTGTTTTCTCATCCCCCATTCAACATAAGCACACTGCGACAGCTTGAACAAAGATCAAATTCATCTCGCCAATCAGTTTAGGATTTGGCATTCTGCGCTTCATTCTAACACTTAATCACACTTTTAGACAAACACGTTTGAGGTTTTTCTGGAGCAGTTCACCTAAAAATATTTATTTAGCCTTTGTTGAATCAGGGCGACCAGCACCCCTCCCAGAGACAAGGGTGTAAAGAAAATGGATGGATGGATGGATGGATGGATGGATGGATGGATGGATGGATGGATGGATGGATGGATGGATGGATGGATGGATGGATCAGAGCGCCTTCATGAAGAAAAGACGTCTTTGGAAGAGAGACAAGAGAACACAAAACTTTCAGACGCACCGTAAAAGAAACAGTCCAGCTAAGTGAAGATAAACTCAGGGACAAAGGGTCATAAAAACATATCTCAGCAGGAGGACAGAACTAATGAAGTCATGCTTCTGTACGAGTGGGCAACTGAATTTAAGTAACTGAATTTAAGAATTTTAGTTGTTTTCTGCAAAAAAGATGCATCGAAAAGTTGCAGGACACTGCCCCTTGAGGACTGGAGTTGCATTTTCAATAGAACTCCACTGGAAAGGCAACATTTGCACAGATCATTTTGCTAGACAGAGCTGATGTCACAGCTGATGTCACAATATTTTTTTTTTTACCTGCAAGAGTTTTCCACAGTAGGAGGGGGATTGGATATTATTGATATTATTGAGTTAGTCTGATACGTTTCCGTCTGTCCGCCATATTGGATTTAACAAAAAAAATTCTTGCACTTTTATTGCCTAATGCACTAGTGTCCACCTTAGTGGTCTGTGTGCATTTATAACATAAAAATCGACGAGTAACACAAGAAAATGACTTTTAGATAGCTGTCCACTGTAGTGACCGCTATGCATGAAAGGGTTAACTGGAACTACACTGAAAAATGTTGCAAAGTTGCAATACCAATGAATTGTCAAACAAGGAGACGTCCTTGTTTGATGTCTCCGTACATAGGCTACATATTAGCCTACAGACGTCTCTATAGGCTAACATATATGTTATCCTATATATAGCATCTCAATAAAGTCCGTTGTTGAAAACCATAGTAGCAAGTGTCGCATCAGGTATGCAGAATCACTAAAAAATAAATGACAAAGTTTTTTTTAAAGGTAGTCTCATATTGTCTTCACGCCATTTTAATTCATACAAAAGGTAATTTTAGCTCCCCAGGTCCATCGTTTTGCCAGTTTAAGTTTCTCTTGTAATAACTCTGTTTTTCTCCAGAATTTAGCACCAGTGCCGTTGCCGCATTGAGACAAGTCTTGTTTTGATTAGTTTGTCCGAGGACCTTTTTCAACAAAAGGTCATTGTTTACTGCATGGTGTTTGGCAAACCAGGGGCTTTGGACAGCAGAATATTTTTCCTGGCTCGCATGCCATGAATGACAACCATGAGAATTCTGTCTAAAATAGTAGATGAATTTGGAAATGAGCAGCTGCAAAAGCCATGCAGATGATGTGGTGAATATGGAAAACAAGGCATCTCACTGCCTTTATTTGTGGCCGATTGTGTGAGTTTATCAAGTCTTTATAGAGTAATAATCTCACGTAAAGTTGGTGATGTTTGCAGACAAATCTGCAGAAAAATGTGTGGTTTTTTTTATTTGGATTTTTAAGAGCAAATTGACAAAATTCTTCAATTTTAGGTTTGAAATGCATTTGATTTTGAGTTTTATATTTGTGGCATGAAAAGTCTGAAGCACACAAAATGCCCTGCTCAATTCAGGCTTTTTTTGTTACACTCTTATCTTTGAAAAATAAATATGGAGAAACACTTGTTCTTTTAGCTGTTTCTTAACTTGCAGGTTGTCATATCTTACTTTTTGATTGTCTGACTTTCTGCTGGTGAAAGTTCAAGAAGGTCAGTGCTTTATACAAAGTTCCCAAATGATAAAAAAATATATATATTTGAAGTATTTTTCACAGCTACTTCAAATATTTAGCATTGAGAGCTAAGTGAATCTTCATCAGCGTAGACAGAGCATCTGCATAGCACGGCATGACATTACATAATATTCTCAAGTCACTGCTACACATTTGCATGGCACCAATTGTACATTCTGTAGCAATATCACATAAACATACAACACTCAAGGCACAGAAAATAAACTCAGTGGCAGGTTAACTGAACTGCAGATAACACATTTGACATAAATGTAAAAAAGCAAATACTGCGAAGTTATTTATTTACGGCTGTGTAATTATAGAAGTTCAGCTTCGTAAAAGAAGCAGTCTACGCTGAAGACATTACTGAGAATCTCAGCACATTTAAGGTCTTTTTTGCTGTTATTAGTTTTGTTCCCCTGTTGATTCAGTTTGGCAACATTTTCAGAGTGTCTCCACACAATAACAGCTAAAGCTGTCACATGCATGTAACTTAGGCTTGTGAATATACGAATAACCTCAACAATGTTTACAATTCCCAACTTAGAAGAACGACACCTACATGTATGACAGCGTGTGGCTGAAATGTGCAGTTTCCATCTGTCAGCCACTGGAACAAGACGTGGGAGTATAAAACGGTATCCTTGCTTAGGAAGAGGTTTTGATGATCGAGCATGTGTTTGCAATCAGATATGCAGAAGTCTATTTCAGTCATTTGCAAGGAATCTTTCAGAATGGTCACTTGTTTAGGCAGCCAAAAGCAATCTGAGTGAGCCGTCCAGTCAGAACACCCCAGCTGTTTCCCCCTGAGCTCCACTCAACTTCACAAGTCAGTAAGTAAGAAAAACAGATGGACAGACTGGCCATACTTCCATTCTCATTCGCCGTAGCCTGAAAATGTGTAGATCTTGGCATAATTGTTTCCTCAGTGGAGATATTATATGTTCTCCCATGATCTTCTGTTTTTGCTGGCTTTTCAGCTTTTCTCTTCATTGGTCAGGAGCCCGAGGTATCATTTAACGTCTCTAAATGAAGCTCAACTCTTCATTACTGGGTTTAGAAAAGCCAGAAGGCTTTTCTTGTTTTATGAGTTTTCTTTTTGACCGCTCACTTCATACATTTGGAAATCTGCCTTTGTTTTGATGTTTCCTACAGAATGGGATTCAGCAGACCTGAACATTTTCAGTTCTATATTGAAGTAGTCTGCTGGAAATTTATGACTTTCAAAAGATGAACATTTTTGCCTTGTCAAGCTCCTACATTTCCAATTTTTGTGTGTGTGTGTGTGTGTGTGTGTGTGTGTGTGTGTGAGTGGCAGAGAGGAAATTCCTTTTTTCTACCTACAATGCCCCTTCGTGTCGTATGCTTGACGCGCCGACTCTAAACCTTGTCTGTTCGGTGTCGCATACAAAACAGTTCCATGCGAACATCGTTTCCCACCGGGCTGCTTACTGTGCGACGCCGACGTCTCTGTGAAAAGCTAGACTTCCCCTGGTGCAGGTTACTTTGCTCCTTCGACATTTTGTAGTCTTTAAACATGGTTTCTCATCACTACATCGTTTTTATTAGTTATTACTTATGTGTTCAATTTCTTATTTATGGTGTTACTTTTTGATAGTTTTCATCATTCTTTTTTTTTATTGTAATTTAGTTGAATGTTACTAGCTTAGCAAGTATTTCA